CGAGGCCCCGCCGCGCCCCGCGCCGCCCGCTCCCTGGCAAACTCTCCCCGGGCCTTTCCCTCCTCCGCCGGTTCAATAAACCTGCTCTTAAAGGCAAACCTGCTTTCACACTCGGGCACCCATTATGTGTTTGGTGTGAAACGCTATCAACATCTAAAACCCCATTGTCCCCTCGGTCCCAAATCCCTGTAAATCTTCCTCTGGCCTCGACTCATTTTCATCTGAAAAGCCCGTTTAGTTTGAATAGAAAAGCAATCAGGCGCCCCTCTCCCTTTCCCTGGAATGTCAATTAAAATGCAGATTTCTCTGAGCTCTTTACGCGGGAGAAGGGGGGACCCACTGGATATTCCAGGCAAACAAATGAGAGAAATGCTACAGTGAAACCGGGTCGGTGGTGCTGACGGTTCCCCCGGAGCTGCTGCAAGTTCGCCTCCGCTTCCAGCCGTAGCAGAGAGGGGACTGTGGTCCAGGTTCAGCCTGTATTTTGTATTTTTTGAGATTTCAGTATGCTGAGGAATCCGCCTGCTGCCCCCCCCATTTGACCCCTTGATAGCTCCCTCTCCTACTCAGCCTCGGGGAGAAGGGGGGTGCCAGGGAGGCTTTGAGCCTGGAGGTACATCAGCCCCCCTGGGGGGACCTGGGCACCCTCCACCCCCTCACATGGCACTGTTGACTTAAAAATTTATGAAGAACTAAGCTCAGCGGGGGCAAGTCAGGGGTAGACAGACAGATAACTGTTAGGGGTGGCACAGGCTAAGGAATGCGGGCACTGCGTTGGCTTGCCTTGGGGTGCAGGGGAGTTTGGGGATGTTCTGGTACATCGAGGAGCCCCGCACAGACCCTGCATGGGCACCTCTCCCCAGCCAGGCTCTCAGGATGGTCACTTTGCCTGTCGTTGGGGGCAGGCTCGTGCCGAGGTGAAAATGGACCAGGGAGCCGGTGGTCACGAAGAGCCATCCATCACGCAGGGTGACAACTCCTCCCACGGCCAGGCCGAGAAGAGAGTTCCCTTTCAGGGGGAAAAATAAACACGCCGGGGCTTTCACTGAGGCCCCGACTCCAGGAAGGATTAGGGTATTGAAGGCAGGAAGCCGGGATCGTGGCTGCCAGTGGCATGCTGGGCCTGTGTTCCCAACACGGAACCTCGGGACCTAATCATCCCGCCTAGGAGGTCCCCCCATAGGGCGTCCACTCTGGTGAGGGCCGTGCGGACCTGCCACCGTAGGCCTCCGCCGTCCAGAGATTTCGGGAGGGGACTGGACCTGGAAATGGCTGTAATTCAGGTTTCTGGTGCAGCCTGACGGGATGAATGGATGGCTTGAGACTGAGCCGAGGCCACTGTCCACCTTCCTCTGCCCGGAGCAGAGGCTCCTCTGGGCCGGGACTGGTGGGTGAGGGTGGCTGGGGAGGCAGCCTGGGTTGGAATATGCCGGGCTTTAAGACTGCCGGTGAAGTTGCCAGAGGCGGAAAATTCCCATGCATTCTGGAAATGCTGAGTAAATCAGTGAGAATGTTTGTGTACTTACCTCCCCCGTATGTAGATACCGGGTTAGTTATCTTTGGAGGCTTTTGACTTTACGAGGAAAGAAAAGTTGGGGGAAATCCTCCGAGCTATCTGAGAGCACACACACACACGCACACGCACGCACACGCATGCACACGCAGGAGCACGCTGGCTTTTGCTGTGGATCTCACCATGTCACGGGGGCTCTCCTTGAAGCAGGGATTTTTTTTTTTTTTTTTTTTTCCCCT